TGTTCAACCAGTGAACAGCGTAAATCGGGGTGAGTGTTATGCCGCCACGTGATTGAACGCCATTTCAGGAAGAGAAGAAAATTCTGCGCAACTGCAAAAGGGTATAAAGTGCAATTATGAATAATACATTATTGGAAGTATATTTACAAGATAAATATGAGAAGAAGGAGCTATATATTACTTGAAATGGTAGTATACATTTGCAATGTGTGATGCTAACCATATTGGCTTAAGCATGGAAACTATGACGTTTTCCATGAAAATATAGCTTTGTTCAAACATTGGTGTTGTTGTGTTTTTAATCAGAGCAACCGGACTTTGGGTAAGCAACAAATATGAACAAAGAGCAAGTTTTAGCTTTAATAATGGCCTAGGTAGTTAACATAAAGTAGAGTATAATAGTGCGTAAATAAAAAGATTATTGTGAGGTAGGTAAGTGATATTTAAGTGAGGAGTGCATTCAAAGATCTGGAAAACTAGAACCCGTAGGACAAGCCGGCCTGTAAGATGTCTCACGAATTTCTGTAGGGCCCAATGGGTAGCATCTTGACAAGAAGCTGAACAGGCTTGTAGATGGTAGGAGCAAAAGCACTTTATTATTATTGTTATTTTTGTTTTTTTGTTGAGTGTCCAGACTAATGTTTAATTCTCGAGTTGTCAAAAAATGCATGTTGCTGTCTTACAGATCGGAGCGATTCACATTTGTGACCATTAACATACCTGCTGATCAGCATGCGCCATGGACTGGAAATGTTTTTAGTTTTTTAGGCTCCGACACCAGCGGATCAGTTGCTGGAACATGAATTAAAACCACTGGGATGATAACTCCTAACTCGTGTCTATTTTGATATGGTTGGCAGTGTTGGGGCAGGTCCAAAAAGCTGACCAGTGCGCAGGAGATTTCCTCGGCTGCTAGTCCGGAGCCTCATGTGATAGAATGACCAGATAGCTAAACACTCATGAAACTGGCAAAATGGTGTGGGAAGTGATTTCAGTGAGGCTTGTGCACAACCCGCAATCATTCATGAAGTAGTTGGAGTGGTCATGACGTTTTGCCGCATTAGATAGCTATGAGCGTCTATCAGGCTGTCCAGGATTATCAAAAGCGTATGTCCTTGGTCACTGTTTTGAGAAGTAACCATTACAACTCATGATTGTTCCGGTATGAAAGTACCCATGATGCTTTCATTGGTGTAGTCAGTAGTGCTTAATTGATTTAAATGGCGTTCACTGATCGAGGCACAAAAAATCGACTCTTTTACTCATGAATTGACTGTAAAGTGCACGTAATCGCACTGGCTAGTAAGATTCTGAAGCAGTACAAGACGTCTGGTATAACTGCAGTGAATGCGGAACACAAAAACTTAAGCCTGCCAATGTAAGCGTCAAATAAGTATTATATTTAGTGCAGTACCGAATGCATTGTTAAGCTACACCACCTAAATTCTGACAAATACAGTTTGATCAATAAAGAGCTACTTCGTTAGCTACGAAATAATGAGACAGCAAACGTCTCACTCATGCATTCATTGCAAAAGCGGACAAATACCCCCCCATGTGAAATTTGACACTTTGGCTTCATACTGCAGTTTACCGGTGATATAAAACACGTGAAGATAGGCAGAGGACTGTGTAGCTGTTACACTGTCCAGAATGCACGTGAATACGGTGCAACAAACCACTATAGACTTCATAGCACTGGATGAAAACCGAAGGGATGATGAACAGTTAAAGCATATACTCACTGCACACAACTCAAGTTTCAAACTTAAGCGATTGCCATCTCCTGTAGATGGCGACTTGATATGCCACGACACAGCGAAAGATTCACATAGGTCCTTCATCCCTAAGATTATGTGAAAATCTATATTTAGTAATTTTCACTTGTTATCACACTTTGGAGAAAAAGCCTTAGCTAGAGTAATCTAGACAAGAAATATTCGGCGAAACCTACAACGCGACGTGCAGAAGAGGATGAGAGAGTGCATGGCATGCCACAGGGCGAAAATAAGCAAGCGCAAAGTCTCCACCTTTAAAATATTCTCTCGGCCGGATGCTTATTTCACACATGTTCACATGGATCGATAGGTTGGCCAGGTTCCGAGCGGCTGCGCTACTTACTGATACTATGGCGGAAACAGTAGCAAAAGCCTTCTATCAGTACCTGGTGGTCATGTTCGGTGTGCCTATAAAAATAACAACTGACAGAAGAGCTGAATTCGAGTCACGGCTGCTCGACAACTTGTCAAACTTCCTCGGGTTACACAAAATCGACTGCAAAGCGTACCACCTTTAGACTAACAGGGTGATAGTGTAGGGCATCTACGACAATATATGCTATACCCACTCGAATATAGTAAGTAACTGAGGAATTCTTAAGGTTTGGGCGAGTAACCAAGTAAGAATTATGTCATTCTTGTGGCTAAATGGTGAACGATGAATGCCCTCCCGTTTGTTTGGATAGTTATTCCTTACTTCACTTGCTCCCTGACGTGCTAAGGTAGAGGTTCATGAGTACAATTAGTCTTCAAAAACACTACGAGCCAACGGCTGGCAATTTGAGTAATTATTTCGACAGAAAATTCGATTCTAAACTCCAATGCACATGCTGCAACAGACTTTATGATATCGAGACTCCTCATCTACGTGCAGCATTCACACGTAATTATTTCCTCCAGATTTCTGTTTGTAAATCTCTATGGGATGAAACGAATTTGCCCGTCAATTGAAACTTGGCCATCTCTTCTCTCGCGATCAATTTGTTTATCTGTGCTGAGTGAAAAATTTCGCGGATAACTGCATCTAAAACGAACTTGAGAGAAGCTGAATTGTTGTGGTGAGGTTGTGTATCCTTATACTCTCTTTGTACTGTTGTTAATAAATATATGCTTAAATAGCCGCAGGTGTTGTATTCTGTATTCACAATCTGAAATGGCCACTGGATTACGTGGGCCAGTTTAGAGAGTCAGCAGTGCAGAGAGTCACAAAATAACCATCAGCGTTGTTTCTGGATGAAGTCGTTCAAGCGACATAACTTACTGGCTTCTCCGAATCCTTCATTCATGAACCATATATCTGTGAGATTTGTTAGTCTTCTCTCGAATTAATCTTAATTATTTGTCTTTGTATATTTTGGGGTTATACCAATCAGAATTAAGGAACAAAGTTTTCTATGAACCCTCATGCATTCCTGTAAAATGGATTCGCGGTCTGTGCAGTTGAATCTTATCTGCTTGTTGGATGTCCATCCACTTAGTGTATTCGTGCTTCGATTCAAGAAACGCGATGCTACCTGAGGGCGAAAAAGCGCCAAAATGTCGTATTCAAAAACATGGCGATGGAAGCGAATAGCCCAGGTAATTAGGATTTGTGGGCAATAAACTTTATAGCAGCGCAGAAAATCTACCTCTAAGCATAGTTAGATATTTTATTTCTTGAGATATCAGTGCTCGATTTAATTTAGTTTACAGTGAGTCATTGCTTATCGGAAGATTGCATAAGGGGCTGATGTTCCTTGAAACTGGAACCACACTCTCCCGTTCGCTTCACAGTTTTACCTTTTGGAGTGCTCACTTCGTGTGACTCAGCAGACATGTATGATGAACTCCTACATACTTGAGTGAGATATTCAGACCTTTCAGAATAACAAAGGTTTTTGTCCGCCTTGACTACGTATTTTGACACAACTGCAATCTTGATGTTCAGTAAGTTCATTTCATATAGAGCATGAATTAATTGAAAATCTTCTTATCGTTTCTCTGAAATACGCAAAATATGTTAGTTCATTGTCATTTTAAGGGTAGGATGACCGCTTACATTCGTAACTGTTGGACCTCAAGTTAGTTTCGTTTAAACAGCTCGCAGAAAAAATGAAGTACAGAAAAATAACCGTTTGAAATGCAATTTTTGACATGTGTTTTGGGATTAAATTCGCCTACAGACATTTTGTCTTCACTATCAGTACTGATGATACACAGTCTAGGCCTCACTGTGGTTAAAACTGAGGTGACTTAAAGCAAACCTTATCTGTTTCTGAAATGTACAGTAAATAATGAGATTGCACATAGGTAACAATACGAAGGCGAATATCCTTCAAGGAAGGACAAAGATATACCGAACAATATTGATGCGTGGAACAGAACAGTTAGTGAATTACATTTACGAATATTTAAGAAATAATGTACAATAGTCATTCAAAACCAACCACCTGTCATTGAATTTTGTATGGAGACAACCAATAATCACGTGATAATCACGAGGGACAAAGTCATTTCACACAGATCAGTGTAATATCATAAAGTTTGTCTGTCAGGATTAACAAATATATTGTTGTTAGACTGAGATGAGTATTTACCAAAGTGAGGATCGCGATACAGTAGCTGCCATTGGCCAGCTGGTGTGCCAGATAGCGAGAGTTCCAGAGCCAATGTCTTCAGATCAACAAGATCTTTGAACCATTAGGAAACCAGCCACGCTGCAGATGTGGATTATTAACCACTAGAGGAACTTTCAGGGTTGGTATCTGCACAGATGTAAAAGGAAATTGTTGACTATTTTTGATTTACGTCATATGCATCAATAGCAGACGAGTTTTAATTTTATATTCATGATATCATTAAATGGTTGTGATGCTGCCTAACACCATGCAGGCAACATCCCTGTGTCAGTTTCTTGAGGAAGTGCTCTAAATCTCTGTTGACGTTAAGGTTGTCTGCCAATTCTGTCAAAATATGCAGCAGCTAAAATTCCTGGATGGCTTATGTGCCATCAGGAAAATGACGGTTAGTTGGAAGAAACAACATTCTCTAACCATGACGATCTACATTCGTATTATTATTTGGTGAAACGATGGCTAACTGTAATAAGATTTTGTAATCTTTTTGAAATCATTGTCAGAAAAGTGTCTATTATACACCTAAAAACGTTTTGTTATGTCGAAACCTCAGAGTCAAAGGAGCATAAAAGGTTTGAGCTATTGAAGCATTTATCACCTGGTATTTGTTTGACTCCTTCAAAACCGTGTTCGTCAACGAACATACAGTTCCGAAAAATCGCCTCCTTGCAGATGTGTCCTTGGTGGCGTATTGTTTCTGCTTTTCTTTTGATAGTAAGCACTTATTTTTTATGTTTAGTTTAATGTCATGGTAAATTCTGACAACAGTTGTGTTGCTTCCCTGCTGTAAAAGTTTGGCTGTTGTCTGTGATTGATTTAGATCCAAAGGTTTGGATATTCTAAGTTTTGAAATATTCGTTTTATTTGAGATAAGTTTTGCATGTGTGCGACAAGGTGGATTGCTTCTAACATATACAGTCTTTAAGACCAAAATCCTTTCCTAGAGGCCTTAGCACCTGAAATAGTGACTAGTACACATGCACGTGCACATGTACACGTCGTCATATATGGTAAGCAAATGAGGGATATCGGATCACATAGGAAATACGTATGTTATTAATCATGCGTTTTTATGGAAAAAATAGCTGTTTTAGATTGAGGGGAGTCCAAAATCACATATTTTAGAGCATCTGTAGACAAGAATGGGCAATAGTCACAACCATATTATATAAATATTCCATCTTAAACGACTGGAGCTTCTGTTGACCTAGGATTGACTTAACATATATCTGCAGTTTTCCGACTTTTTTTCAAATCCCCATAATATTTCATTAGTCTTGATATAGTAGTCTAGTTAAGGCGGTGCTTCCACCCTTTATGTTAGTGACTCACGTGTTCTAATTGTACTTAGCTTATTGAGGTTCAGTCTGATAGGTGCTTCCACAAGCCGAAATACCATGGGTGTGGTTCATCACATGTGCAAAAATGCATATACATTATTCATCCGGAAATTCAAGATTTCATTTCGAGGAGTCATTTTATCAAGCAGTGTTTTAAGTCTAAAGTTAACAGAATATAGAAACTATTTTGATTTGCTTTTGTTACTGTGAGTTGTTGTTTACTATGTAAACACTCGCAAATCTCAATTACATACTTATTGTAAAGATATGAACCCATATATAATCAGGGTGTCTTATAGAGAACGAAGAACAAGTATTGTCCCAAAAAGTATGGTGAAGATGAAAACGAAGAAAGGTGTTAGTGGGTGTGAGACAAATAAGTCGAGTCAGTGAACTAATGCGCGGTTAGTTATGATGTTACCTGGGGATAGTAGATGAACCTGCCAATTGTCATTGTGAATGGTGATTCTCTGTCAGTTACTGATTAACACCCTGTTTATGAATTCTCAACTGTTCTATTGCTTTAATACTCTTTAGTTACATTGTTTTTCACTCTACGACCAGTGATGTTGACATTATGGAACGAAGTTTTGAAAGAGGCTTGCAGTATCAACTAGTGTTAATTAGTCAGACGCATAGGAACTAACATTAATTTTCGCAAGTAAAAAGATAAAATGACCAGGAAATCAATGAGATCTGTTTGGTCCTAGCTAAATAACAGACATGTACTTAATGTATGCGAAGGTCATTGGAATACGAGTTTGTCATGATTTCAGCATAAATGATAACTGATGCAATGGAAACAGAGCCATTAATGGTATGTTTGGGTGATGTCTGTGTCATAGAGTTGCTCAGTTCATATCACTGTAAAAGGTAATGGCTGTGTAACACATTAAAAACTAATGATGGCTGTGTTCTCTAACGTTGCGGGTGTTATTTACCAAAAGAGACGCGACTGCTTAATATATATCTTAGGGAATCTTTGTCCCATATTGAAAATCCCTTGCAAAAACACTCAGGAAAGATGACAGCATACAACCAACTTTAGCGTTTAGATGCTAACATTTGTTGATTTTTCCGTTAAACGGCTTAGTACGTTGTTAAACCCCAAAGACAGGTTTGATGAAAGTTGGAAGTATTGGGGATATTTTTCGTGTTAAAACAGGCTCTCAGATCATATGTATGCGAATAACCCCCGTGATTGGCTTTCATTTTTAATTTTTAATTTGTTGACATTTTTTGGTAGACACTGCATTTAATTATTAGGTTTTGCTGAAATAATGAAGTCTATATTCATGTGTCCAGTATTGTGAGATGTTAGAACATGTAGAAAGCTCCGGGTCATTCCTTTACTGCTGACAGAGATACTGTAGAGAGTTCTATGTATTATCATTATAAATATTCATGTTATATCTTAGTGTTGACTATCCATTAGCCAGTATTGATCTGGTGTTCAACATTCGAACCTTAATCCAACTACCTCATAAAGATAGAAGGATGTTTAGAAATTTATATTCAATTATAGATGCTTGTAAATCCATTTTGACTAAACGAAGAGTTAATGTAAGTTATCCAATTGTAAAAGGGACTATTAAATCAGTCAGTTCACCACGTGAAGTCATTTTTTTGGAGTTTGTACTTCTAAAAGAGATCGTTTCAGTAGCCTGATTACTATGAATTTATTTCAAGCGGAGAAACTGCAGAATACTTGAAGTCAGTTTGTAATAAATAAATGAGATAATACCTCTTGGATCAGATCAGTACTTCTCAGCATATGGAGGTATTCTATGGAGTGAATTGATTACTCCTTTACTTAAGTAATTGGTTTGTAATCAGTAAGTAACGGTTTCCGACCGTACACCTGTCGAAGCAGCCAGTATTAACAACCTTCACATAAGCAACTGTAGAATTTTACACGTTCCTCATAGTTTACTAGTTGAATTTGTTCCGAAAGGTTATCTTAAAATCACCTCACTTATTCACCTAACTTTTGGGTGACAGCAAGACGTACTTTCCAAAGATCTAGTAGTAATTTTTTTCTATGCAGTCGATCGACTTATTAATTAGGATAGATTTATACCACTGATATCGGTCGACAGTTGTCCTATTATGCAACTAGTTAACAAAAGTAATTTAACATTATAGAATTTAAATCTAATGATTGAGTAGTAAACAGTTGACTGAAAGACTCCATGGTCATATACTCCGTCTTAAGTATATTTTGCTGAAGGTCCCTCAACTAAGAAGATGCAGCTATCTGGTGCTAGTACTCATGTAAACTGATTTGAAAATCAATCCCTTTAGATTGCCAAGAGGTCATTTATCTATTGTAAACCTGGCTTAAATGTTGAGAGGACTTTGAACATCGATTTTATATGTGATCTCCAGTGGTTTCATACGTAGTAGGTGGTCACTGTTGTTGTCCAATGTTAAAAAAGCATGTAGGGAAAAACAGATGTCTTTGTAGAATTCCAGTACTCGTTATTGAACTGTTACATTTGAACTAATAGTAATATAAAAAGTAATGTTAATAGGTAAGAGCTGCAGCTGAATAACTGAACTTTCAATTTGTAACCTATGAACTATTTCACTCTACTATCTTCTTATGTTAGTAAAGCGTATCTCTAGACTAAATTTCTCCGAATAAATATTTTATAAGCTCTAAATCAAACTGGTTAAGCTGATGTGTTGTGTTTTTAAAATCTATAGATTGATTTAGTATATTCTATTGTTTTGTGACACTTTTACATCAAATATAACAACCTGTAATGTTGAACATTAACTTGTTTTCAACAACAAAAAAACACAACAATTTGTGTTTAAGGTATATTGCTACACATGTTTAAAACCTTTGACTGTTCGTTTAAGTCATTTAGAGAAGGGTAGGCTGACTGCTTGAAGTTTTCAGAATGCTAAGGTTCAATGGCTCTAGTCTCTTGGTGGCAACCCAATTTAATCCAGTCAAAATAATAAGCGTATCTTTGACATGCTTCTCAATTCTGAAGAGTGAGTATTAGGAACGGTCGACTACGAAAATTGTACATCCATGCCACTTCAAAGAGACCATACGTGTGTGTGACCGGCCTCAAATAGTTGTCCTTCTGGGCTCTGTCGTCACGCAACACACTAATAATGTCTTATCTGTTTCAAGTGCTCCAAGAAATCAGTCAGTCAGCCAGCCAATATCTTTAGTACTATTTATATTGAACTGTTAATTGTATATTTTCTGTTATTGATTTTTTATTCCCTCTTGTTTTTAATTTATCCTTTTCTTTTAACAGAATTCAGTTCAGTATTGCTCTTCCGTTGTACTTGTCGGAAATGATTCCAACTTTGATTCACTGATAAGTAAGATTATAGTGTCAATTCAAATCATTTCTATTACTAGCTGGATATGAGTTGACTCTATTGAAATTCTCAGCAGAATGGTGTCATTTCAGTCAAATGTTAGCACCAATCTTTGAACAAGCCTCAGAGAAAGTTACAGAGTTGACTAAGGTAGGACAGTCTTTTGTTTTAAGAATGAATCATTTACTTCCCTTTAAATTTATAGAATGGTAAAGCTGCTTTCATTACAATAGACTGTGAATCAAGTCGTGAGTTATATAATTTATCATATCTAAATATATATCCTTACATTGATTATTATTCAGCGTTTACCTCCCTTTTATACATGTTAGTAAAGTAGAAATAAACTGAATTACAACTGTTAGTTTTAAATAGTTTAAGAGAGATCTGGACTTCTTGGATGATGTCACGTAAACCCGAAGATCCACGGATGAAAACCAACAAACTGGCAGACGAGTCAGCAAAGATAGGACTTCAGGTGAACATGGAGAAAAAAGAGGCGATCATGATGATGACTAGCCAACAACAACAACGACGAAAACAAGCACCAGTCACTATCAATGGGAGAAATCTAGAGGTAGTCACCACTTTCACTTATTATCTAAGTGGAATCGTTTCAACTATACGCAGGTAGCACAGATGACGATGTCAAAGCCAAGACAGACTTTCATCACTCTTAAATCAGTTTGGAAGTCTGCTGCATTAAGCATAGGGAATAGAGAACAAGGTCCCGATGTTTAACACTGGTGTCAAATCAGGGTATCTATATATGGTTCAGGGACTTCACGCGTCACAAAAAAACATAACCATACGGTTGCTTTCATGCTTGTTGGAATTGGTCAACATTGCGGTATTTTCAGATTCTAAAGAACTAATGTTATCTCGGAGATGTATGTAGTAACGTCTTCAGTTGCTGCTTTAGGCAATGTAGCTTCGAATCTCTAAGGGGGGGGGGTCATCAGTCCCTTCGAGGTCACAGAAACGCCTTGCTAATGAGTGCCGAAAGAGCATGAAGCTTAGATCTAGAGTTTTTCGCGGATTACCTCCATAGTGCCTAACAACTTTTTGAAGTTTCTTGCAATGGCAATTCATCTAGATGGGTGACAGAATTCTGTTCAACAACAACACAAAAGACTAGAAACATGATATTGGTCGTCACTTCTTGATGATCTATCGATGTACTGCTGTATTTTTATACGAATAAGTTCATATTTGTTCCAGTTACAGTGTTATTGCTATCTTGATATTATTATTATTTGCGTTTAGGAAAATAGCATATTGTAGGAAATTAGAGTTTCTGTAATAATACGACATCAGATTCAACCTTTTCTAAATGAATCAATCAATTTGTTGCACAGAAAGTGAAACTGTTCTAATTATCAAAAAAGATACGAATTATAAGACAGTTACTGAATTAGTTGTTAGAAGTATATTACTAAATGAATTGAGTAGTTAAATGCTATTCTTAACACAAATGAATAATATTCAGGCGTTGGTTTGCAAGGATTTGATCGGTTACAGGATTTCATCATGAGATGACATCGGTACTGGAAAGCTATTTCGTGCTAGTCTCTTGGGACTCTTCATCATTACGCACCCACCACGAGGGTTCGAACCCAGGACCTTCCTGTAACTAGGCGAGCCAGGTTGTAGACCATTAAGCCACTGTGACCCAATCCAAAAGCCAATCTATGAATTCCAACTTTTGCCAGTTCACGATATAGCGCGACCACTAGCCAATGCAAACCAACACTTGAATATCGATCTAATGCTCACCTGCGACTGGCCCTATTCAAATAGGTAGTTACCTGGGTTCTAGTAGGACCAGCGGGGTACAGCAGGTCGGGTGTGAGGACAAATACTCCCCGGCGATGACACCAACTATTGGTCGCGCTATATGGTGAATTGGAAGAAGGTGGAATTCATGGGCTGGCCATTGGATTGGCTTCCAGTGGCTAATAAATGGTATACGAGCTTGCCTTACAACTAGAAGGTCCTGAGTTCCAACCCCTGTGGTGAGTGCGTACTGATGAAGAGTGCCACACTAGGAAGAAACAGCTGTCCAGTACTTTCAGGTTTTCCAATTGTTCCCCTACCGATTTCAGGTCATGAGGAAACCGTGTAAACAAATGAAGAACTTTTCCCAATAGCCACACCAAAGTTGACTGTAAAACTATGTCTTATTGATCTGAAGATTTGAATCCAAGTCAACTGGATCATTATTTGTTTAAGTCAGTTTGCATATATTCGATTCCACTGCTAGTCACCATCTACCAGATAACATGTTAATCCTCAAACATAGTCGAGAATTCCATACTAGAGGTGAGTACTTCAGTGGAGGCTGAACATTTCGGCCTAATCAATCAATCAACAGGGAGAAGGAAATGGACTTAAACAAACAATAACCGATGCCTGTTGCACAAGAGGTGACTGTTTTGGCCTAGTAGATTTAATGGGTAACACTGTGAACATTTGAAACGATGATCTCAGTGGGGATTGCAGACACATCCAGAGGACGAGTCTCAAATGGGACGAAATGTGTCTCCCGGATTCATTCACTGAAAACAACTGAATCACTGGCTTATAAAATAGCTAAAGTTGTGGTAGTCGGATAGTATAAACTTATAAGATAATCCACATGACTCATTGTTCTATTCTCTCCAATTCGCACCACTGCTCTCTGAAGTATTTTTTCACGTTTTTAATATTAAATTTCGCGAATTAACTTATCAATTTTGCAATGAATGTATGCGGCATATATTACATAAATCATATTTCATGTAACGTACTTCCTATATGTATCACTGTTACACTTTCACAATTGTTCTAATCTCCCACCTTCAATATGATTTACTGTTTCATTTACTTTTTTCTTCCTTTTCACCAAATTCACCTCTACCTCTACCCCACCAACACCTCCCAAAAATCTCTAAAAATCCAATTTAAAACTATGTTAAATATACTTAGAGGATTTATGCAGTAAACACAATATCCGTAAATATCCTACAGTCAAAGTGACAAAATATGGTAAAATGCTGAAACGTGAATATCGTGATCAACGAACTGTTGAAGCATTTGTTAAATTTGTTGAAGACAATTTACAAATACCAGTCGATATTATTAATGGTAATCAAGCAAGTCCTGATCGTATTACCGATGTAAGTCCCTTCCCTCTTTCTTTCTCCTTCATATGACAATTTATTATAACAATAATAATAATATCATTTAACTTAAAAATCCCCATTGAGTCATATAGAAAAAGAGAAGACGTTCAGCGAAGAGACTCTTTTTTTTCGACGGTGAATTCATTCGTATAGCTGTACAATCGCATTTATATATAATTATTTGTGTGTGTGTGTGTACATGAGGTTTGTTAAGTTTAGATAATTAATCAGGTAATACAAGAATGATCTTATATAGAAACAAGGTTAATTAGACAGCAACTAAAGTAAGATTGAAATAGTAAGTTTGATGACGTAATATAATTGACTAAAATGTGCGTTGGTGGCATAGAGGTTAGGACGCTCGCCAACCATGCACATGGTCCGGGGTTCGATCCCCGGCTGGCGCACTCCTTTACCTCGCTAAACCGGAACTAAAAAGCTGGTGAAGAGGAAAGGTTGGGCATGAGGCTAGCAACCCCATCCTGTAAAAATAAACACTGCTACAGAAACTTCAAGCCACTAGCTTGAAGCCCTATGTTCCAATGGGGAACTTGAAGGAAAAAAAATGTTTCAACTTAGATCAGGATAGCAATAGAGGTAATTACAGGTAGAGACTGAGTAGAGGTGTGGTAGAGAATAATGCCATTTAAATTAGGACTAAAATTGAGCAAATAAATTGGATGACGTAACACAAATGACTAGAAATTGAGCGTTGGTCAATTTAGTAACAGTGGTAATCAGGTGTAGAAATTAAATCGCGTCGGGGTAGAGAACAGGAAGGTTGAAAATGTAAAATATTACAGTTGAAAAGACAAAATAATACGAATTAAGAAACAGAAAGAAAGAAATAGAATTTACCTGTTGGGTATTAATATAGTATACGTCCATTGCAAGTTTAGTGATTGAACGAACTTCTTGTGTATGCAGAGTTCAGGACTCAGCAAGTGAATGGCCATTGCCATTGCTTCTGCAGTTTGAAGAAGTTTGACTCGTACACTTTTAGGAAGACTATTTCTTACTCTGTAGACGACTTTGAAGTTTTTTTGGGGTGTAGCTTGGTGTCCAGAATCTATCAGATGTTCTAAGATAGGGCTGCAGGGGCATCGTTTTTCTCCTTTGTAAAACCATGCTGGTAAGTGTTCGGTCATACGTTTGGATAGCGAACGCTGGGTACCTGGCTAACTCCACACGAACAAGAGAATTGGTAGATACACATTGATGAGGCCAGCAATGGTAGCTTATCCTTCACGTTCATATGAATCATAGGTTTCGTGGAGAAGGTTAATCGTAGTTCAGCTGCGAAGAAGGTTTTCTTAAGTGAACGGGACAGTCGATTTTTCAGTGTTTCCACAGATAAATCTCCATTGAATTGAAGGTTCATATAGAGGAGTTTTTTCGGAACGCTAAGCGTTGGCGGCTTTTGTGGTCTAGGAATTGTGATTTCTGTATTTTGTATTACAAGTCGATAAGGACTAACTACTCTCTATGCAATAACGGGTAGTTATGCTACATGGAGATGTGGTTTGTCGGTCTGCGTGCTCAGCTTCAAATGAACTCCTTTGCTAGTTTGAATTCCACTCAATCCATTGGGGGTTGGGGGTGAGCAGGCAGGTAGGTAGTAAAATTATCATTAACCCTCACACACAATAGGTATGGCTGATGTTACTAACTGTATGAAACTGCAAATGATTGTGTTGAGTAACATTCCTATTTTGTCCTCCACTTGGGATAAAGAATAACAGTTATGCATACAAATGAGGTGTATGTTTATGAATTAATTCGATTGCTAGCAGCTACAAAGTAATTTCTTTGTTGTTGTGTCTTTCAGTAGATGATTTCAACTGTTTTAAACAAAAATGATAATGAAATGTTACACAAAAAACCACTTGCAATCCTGCACAGTTGACAATGAGCGAGCCACACCTGTTTTGGGAGGGGGAGTGATACTACGTGGTTTCCCAAATATCCATAGTAGATGGAGAAGGGTTGGAATCTGTGCTCCATTGATTATAAGTCGAGCGCCTAGACCAATCAGCCACTGTTCTGTTTCAACTGTTGTAGATTAGTAGACGGATCTCTGTCTGTCTGTCTGTGTGTTTTTGACATAGAACTTTGCACCGATGTGCAGCAGTTCAAGTTGCCACACTCCATGCACCACACAAAGCAAGAGAAGAAAGTAGCAGAAATGCATAATATAGGCAGTAAACAGAGGTGTGAGACAAAGGAATATTGATAATGAAGAACAAAACAGTTTCATTGGAAATCATAAGTCACAAGGAGTGGATGCATCTGCACTAGCCACTGAGAACGATTTTGAACCATATCATGGATTGTTTACAGCCATTGGTTTTTACCGTCCCGAGGACCCCAACCAGTCAGGAAGCCAGTCTACATCATCCTACGTGGCTTAAACTAACTGTTGTAGATTTCATTGACTGGTGCCACGTTTTGGTTTGACCGCCGCTAGCTCTTTTCGAGCCTGACCATATATCAGCTAATATTGCCCGTCGAGGAAGGTGATGGTTCGGTGGTATACGTAACACATGTCCTAACCATCTCAGTCGATGTAATTTCACAGCCTCGTCGATTGGTTTCCTTCCTTTCCTAGCACTCGACCGAAGCCTCACCTCAATATTACTCACCGTATTATACCACTTCACATGGGAGATAGAACGCAGACACCTATGATCAAAGACAGCTAATCTTTTCATGTCTTCCACTCTCAATGGCCAGGTCTCACAACCATAAAGGAGGACGGAGCGGATGTCTATTACAAAAAACCGTTTGAATAAAGTATCTACTTGCGTATGAATCATAGACAAACGCATATACGGTATACGAATATAAATACGTGGAAAATGCAAACAGCCTAGTCAGATAGTCAGGGTATGATGACAAAGAATAATGAAAATAATGTCATTCATTTTATTGATTGAATCCCTAATCATTTATAAATTAACATAATTTGTATGTTTTACTGATTGAAATGAGTACTTAGAAATCACTGATGTGTCTCACATGACAGTACTTGTTAGCCCCACCCCCATATCTAATTGATTTCATCACTGATTGACTGTTTCACTCATGTAAGCGCTGAAATCATCAGCGAGGTACTCGATTAAATATACACCTCTGGCTAGTATTGTTTAATTTACAAGTAGCAAATTCTAATTTATGTATCTTACCAGTGTTGGTAGCTGAAATTCTTGTGGTTTAATTGATTCTGTACTCTAAGCTAAGCTGAGCTGAGTTCAACTGGGTACACAGAACTAATCAGGTCGATATCAAACGACTGAAACAACTATCTGATATTTTTTTATTAACATTACTTCGATCCGATTTGCAAGTGGTATGGAATGACGTCTTATAATGGTCACCGGTTGTCTCTTCTTGTTTAATACGGTTTCGCAGTAATTAAGGTAAAGTATATATATATATATTTTCTGTGTATGGGTGTGTGTGTGTGGGTAGTACTGCTTAAAATACCAAATTCTACACATAAGATCTTCTTTATGTTAATTATCTCTAAGTCTGTACGAAATTATGGAGTGGTGGCTGATCGGTCTAGGCACTTGACTACTTTCAACCACTGGCCACTGGTTCGAACCCCTTCTCACCTACTAGTGAGGTTTCAGCAACCAGGTAGTATGACACTAGCTCACACACAGTAGATTTAGTTCATTGCCAACTCCATGGTATACTGAGTGCTTGTTAATTTAACATTCAACAAAATTAAGTGTACTAATGTGAATGCATTTCCTAGTATATATATATATATATATATATATATATATATATTCTTTTCTATTGTACGTATCTGTACTGCATCGATATTTTTCTTTTTACTCCCCTCCTTTGTTCTCCCCTACTACGTAACAACAAAACGCATGCAATTTATGTATATATAAATTGTTTAGCTATGGGTTAATAAAAGTAATGATAAAAATACTGTATTGGCACTGGTCAACAGTTTGGAAGCGAAAAACTCTCATGTGGCTGTTTTCAAGAAAGTTGCCTCTATTGAACGAGATTCATGTGCCTTCGTTTTAATTCATAAGTAAGTTGAATTATTGTTTACTTTGCTTTTTCATTCGGAGTATTTTTCTCCTAGAGAGAGAGAGAGAGTTAGCTAGTTGAGAATGTGTCTGCAGTTAAATTGCCTTTTTTGGACCTTAGGTATTATCACTATTGTTGTTATTATTATTATTTGGGTATTGGTTTTGTAGAGATTGTGTTTGATTGTTGAGAGGGTTTCATCATAAGCTGACATCATTGAATCGGGTCCCAGTGGCTTAATGGTCTACAAGCTCGCCTTGTAACCAGAAGGTCCTTGGTGCGAGCCCCTGTGGTGGGTGCGTACTGATGAAGAGTCCCAAACTAGGACGAAACTACTGTCAAGCATTATTATTATCATTGTTCGTTCCTTGCATCCTGGATGAAAACATAGGACTTCATTAGTATATCTTTATTGGCTCCAAGGCTACTCGTAAGCTTTCATTGCCACTTCACGTGATATCCAACGTCATCCATGGATACCCAACCCATCTGAAGGAACTCAAACAGATAGAACTTACTTTGGTCAGACTAATGATTGGGGAATATTTATTTTTGATTAAGTTTCACAGTGTTATGCAGTGATAATATTTACTGATGACCTTTCAAGCACAATTCACTGCTCTTAATCATATCAAGTTGATTATGAGCAATAAATTGTGCTCGTAAGATCATCAGAAAATATTATTACTGTATACCATTGTGAGACTTTATCAAAATGAATTTTCTTCATAATAGAATTATACTCTACCACCACAGTGCTCAAGTTCTATTCCTACATTAACGATTGAAGACATTTCAGTTTGATAATTTATCACTTCTATTCATTACAAGCTTGTTCTACCACACGGCTGACATATGTGTTTGAATGTCTTTGAATATTGATTTGAGCCACGTTGCGTGGTATATACTTACCTGGTTGAAGGTGGCATTACATATTCCAATTAGTTGTTCGATATGTCGATTTCGATGATTAACATGGAGCTCATGGGGTTAACTTCTGGGCTACCTTCAATCAATGATTTTTGGGTTCAAATCATGCTTCGTTTACTTCAGCCCTCCTGACCCTCACACAATAACTGCTACCCACATCTTGGTGTACGTGGGAGTGGTTTTCTGGTGGTGGGCAGCAGCAACAACATTGAGATTTTGTTACAGTGAATTCAGGTTAAAGATAGAAAGTATAAGCAACATAATTTCAAGGATGATGTAAATAGTTTTTGATGGAAACAGCTTCTGGGAACCGAAGTAACCATGTTTTTCTTTACGTAACCATAACTGTTTTGTTAGTGTGCTTTATAGTTTTTTTCTGTTACATAACATTCCTCTCAATCTTTGATTTGATTTCCACTCACTGAGTTGAATCCATTATTAGGTTTCCAAATCTACTAAGTTAAATTATTTTATCTATCTATTCTCCCCCACCCTCCTGAACTCTCCACCATAATATATACAAATTTGTTCTGTGTTCTATCTTGTATTTTGTCTCTAGAGTGTCCTTGTTTCCTAGCGAAATCCGAACTCCCCCTCCTTGTCTAATTACTATATAAATAGTTACTCTTTTAACACTAAATAATTCATGCAAAATTCCCATTGGAGCATCAAAGCATCAAATGATATATATGTATATATGCAATTAAAATGTTTGTGATTATAATCATAGTTCAATGTGAAGTGACAAAACAGTTAATGTCATATATATAGAATAATTCATAGGATACTTTGATTGGACACTAGTTAGCAACTAGTGTGATGTGTCTAGTCCTCTGTTTGGTGCGGACTGAATTCTATCCGTCAAGTTTGCAATGTGGACTAGATACATTACACTAGCCACTAACTAATGTCCAATCAAAAGTATCCAGTGCAGTGCTATAGGAGGTCAATCGCGAGCCCGAATGGTTCAGTGATCACGTCTCTGACTGCAGAACTGCACTGGGTGACGTGGGTCGAATCTCAGAAGCGACATTAGTTCCTTCAAGGGCGCAGATACGTCTTGTTGACGAGTGCCAACTAGCACGAAACCTAGGTCAAACAAGGCTTCGTGTGACCTATTGCTTCCAACCATTTAATATCAACTAATCATAGGGTGTATAGAACTTGGAAGGAGTGTGAAATTATAGGATTAGTAGGCAAATAGAATAAAAATAAAAACATTTCGTAACATTGTGTGAAATTTGATAGCATAGAATTTAACGTTGCAAAACAGAACTGATTTAGAATAACAAGTGAAACAATATCGGGGATAATTCAACGTGAGAATAGTAATAGTAACAATTGACGTAATAAAAGAAGAGTATACAAATTGAATAAACAAAACGAAAAATAGGTAGCGCCAAAACATAACTGGGGATTACCATACTTTAGTATAAAGGGATAAAGACCAGGAAAGTTGTAGGGGTTGAAAGAACTTTTTCTGTATACAGAGATCTGGCTGCATTGTTTCGATAGCCAAGGCTTCAGCAATACAGATGAGTTGGATACATAGTGATTTTGGCGAATCACTTTTCGCCTTGCAGATGACTTTAAAGGTGGGGGCTGTAGAGGTAGGGTGATCATTATCAACCAGATGTTCAATGACCACGCTTCTTATTGCTCCACTTCCACCTCTTTGTAACCATGTGGGATAGTGTTCTTGCATCCTCTTGGACAAAACTCGAGTCGAACGACGAATATACCTGACTCCACACGAGCAGGTGAATTAATAAACAGACACTTACATCATCTTTGAAATTATGTTGCTTATACTCTCTATCTATAACTTGAAATCATTGTAAAAAAAGTATGTTCAGACACCACTTTGCAACTTATAATTAGATTTTGTTAAGGATGTACGCAGTTGAAGAGGGAGAATCCACGACGAAATAAAATGAGCTCATAGTAACCTGCAACTATCTGCTCGTTCTTTCTTTAATTAAACTAATCAAGTGAACCGGCTGTATGAAATTTCTTTTCAGTGTTTCATATTGTAACGACAGAAGGCAAGAGTCAGGCTACAGGTCGTTTATAATGAAATCAACAAATATTTATAGATTTTCGTGTACATTATTGTCGATTATTGTTAGCTGTCAAACACAGTTTTCTGATTGGTTGTTTCTCACTAAAAGTTAATCTTTCATCTCTTTGTTGCTGTCTCTTGAGTGTCAGATCATCTATCTGCTAATTGTATCCGCCTACGTAAAGTCTGCTGTCCATCTTTGATTTTGTTTTCACATGACTAATATTTGATACATAAACATTGATGTCAATTACTGTCTACCAATTTGGCTAGCAGCCATCTCTCACTGCAATGTAACTGCGCGTCGGTGGCACAGCGGTTAGGACTCTCGCCGACCATGCACATGGTCCGGGGTTCGATCCCCTACCGACGCACACCCGATATCAATGGTCAGCCTGCAAAATTGGGCTACCGATATCACATGCCGAAAATTCCATACTTGTACCAAAAATACGGTGTGGAGTCAAGCTATAATGACAAAAAAAACAACTAAAGATTACGTAAGCAAATAGAATAAGAATTTAATATAATAAAATCAATTAGAATAGAAGTATTTGTTCAGTGATGAACACGAAATCAACAGCCAGTATGCAGTGCATTTAACTTATTAGAAAAAGGTCAGGTCATCTCTCTTTCTCTCACTCTGTATGTTTGTGTGTATACATATTTGTCTCGCACTCACCAATAATATTAATATTAATATTTTTTCAATATTTATGCATAAAACTGTTGATAAGACGTGATTTATCTTATTCTCTGTGTTTTGATTCATCAAAATTTAAACAACAAAAACCAAAAAGAAAGGAGGATTTATCTTTTGATCATTCTGTTTAGTGTGTTTTTTATTTCTCTTTCTTTCTCTATTTCTCTTTATCTGTCGTCAATGGATAGCGTCAATCAATCTTTTGAAATAATGATTTACTTTATTTTTCAAGAGTTGATTTGTCTTTCATATTTGATCACGGATTGATATCAGTTAGAGAACCATTAAAAACCAACTGGGAGTACTGGACAGCCTAATTTAGAACTCATCATCAGTATGCACCCACTACACTGAGGTTCGAACTCAGAACCTTCCGGTTACAAGGCAAGCGAACTTGTAGACTATTCATCAGTCCCTGGTACCTGACTCTTCAACGACCAGCCAGCCAATGAATTCTAACTTCTGCCAATTCATGATATTAGCGCGACTGGCACCAGCCAATGTCATTGCTGGCGAGTATTTGTCCTCACTCCCGACAGGATGGACCCCACTCTCTGGTCACGATTTTTCACTAGAACTTCAGGAAACTCCGTCCTGTCTGTCTGCTTTCAGCATAGAACTTTGCATCGATGTACAGCAGTTTGAGTTGCCACACTCCCTCCATGTTGCGCAGAAAGCAAGAGAAGAAAGTAGAAGAAATGCAAAATAGAGACAATAGACAGGGATATGAGACAAAAGGAATAGTAATAACGAAGAACCATATAGTTTCATTGGAAATTATAAGTCACAAGGAGTGGATACGTCTGCGCCATTGAGAACGATTTTGAGCCATATCACCGCTTGTCTCCAGCCATTGGTTTTTCCCGTTCCGAGAACCCCAATTAGTCAGGAAGTCTACACCTTCCTACGTGGCTTAAGCTAACTGTTGTGGATTTCATTGACTGATAAAGCCATGTTTTGGTTTGACCGCCGCTAGCTCTTTTCCATCCTGACCATATATCAGCTAACATTGGCTGTCGAGGAAGGCGATGACCAGGCATCCGTAACACATGTCCTAACCATCTCAGTCGATGTAGCTTCACAGTCTTGTCAATTGGTTTCCCCTCCTTACCTAGCAATTGACAGAAGCCTCACCTCAATATTGCTCACCCTATTATACCACTTCATACGGGAGATAGAACGCAGGCACCTATGATCAAAGACAGTTAGACTTTTCATATCTTCCACTCTCAATGGTCATGTATCACAGCCATAAAGGAGGACGAAGTGGACTGCTGAGCAGTAAACACGCCCTTTGGTCTATAGC